ATTTGAACCTCGAGGTTTCAGGAAGCCCAAGTACTTCCCATTTCTGGGCCTGCTGCAGGGCCTGTGTGAGTCCTGGCCAGCCACAAGCCCCTGGCACCTTGGATTAGCCTCACACTGCCCTCACCAAGAGGCCTGGTCTGGCTGCTCTCTCATGAGTGGAGGTTCTCTGGAAAGAACATGATGGAGAGGACCCCTGGCCACTCCTAGCCCTCTCTGAGCAGCACTGGAGAACGTTGTCCCTTGGACACCTGCGGGACACTTAGGGAAGTGACCCATGACCCTGCGAAGGCGGTGGGCTTTGGCAAGGAGTCACCACACCTAGGTGACCCCTGCTGTCCTTACTGTGGTCTTGTCTTCAGCTCTCAACAAGGAGAATTCTCCACGTCAGGTTCTATGTGACTCCTTATTACCCACTCAAACCAGTCACCTCACCACACCTTCCTTTTTCTGTGGTTCAGGCACTCCTCAGCTCGGCAGACCTGCTGACCTTCCCTGTCCCCACTACCTCCTGCTGCTTAACCCAGGAGCCAGGTCCCTCAGAGCAGGCCTCTGCTTGCCCAGTTTGGGCCAGTTTTGAGGAGTCAGGGAAGGAGGGCCCCAGAGGCGGGTCAGAATGTCTCCTAGACACCGTAAGAGAACCCTGAAGAAAGGACCACATTTAACAGTGGTCATGCAGGGTACAGAGACCCAGAAAGTGAGGCCTCTGCCCTGGTGAGTTGCTAAGCTTCCGGCCAGCCGCGAGCCTTCCGGTGACCTGGCCTTCCCACCCTGATCCAGAAGATTTGCTCTCGTTTTTTGGTTTTGTTTTGTTTTTCCCTCCCGTGAAATTTACCTTATTTTGAAAATCCAGGCAAATGCACTGATAGAGCCTATAATGTACCCACCAGGAAATGACATTTCCTTATGGTTCAGAACCAATCTCTTCACCTTCTTATTCACACCCAGGTTTATGAGCTGAGACTTTTTCCTGATCTCTCTTTCTCCCCACACTGAGGAGCATTTTCCATCTTCAGAGGCAATAATTCAGAGATAGTTAGGAAATGAAAGGCCTTTCCTAGTTTGTCAGTTGTTATATTGTTTCTTAGATTATCGATATTTTAAATATTTAAAAGTTGAAAGATTTGATTTTACGTAATTAGCATGTTGCTGTTTGTGGGCCTGAGTGAGAATATGGCCTGCTCTATTCTATATTCATATTGTAATACTCCTTATTTTTCATTTTTAAAAATTTCTTTTTCATTTTCAAAGAATTGCATGCCCACTGTAGAGTATTTGGAAAGTAGAAGGAAATATTAAGAAAAAAAAATCCATAATCTCCTAATTGGAGGTAATTAACGTTTTGGCATATTTCCTTCTAGCTGCATTATGGCATTTTTTAATTATGCAGTTGACATATCCCCAGCGAACTTTGAAGTAGGTTATTATTGACTGGGTGGCCCTGTAATGAACAATCGATTTTGAATCTTTACACATAATTTAATGCTCGGCTCTTCCTGTCAATAGAGGTTTTCGAATTCATGTGTTGAGAAAATGTGTCAAAGTCGACTTCCTAACTTTGTATAATGGAAATAACGATAGTGATCAAGGGGGATCTCAATCCAGGTCACATTCAGTTTGTTCTGTCTCCTACTTTCTCTGCAGCTTTTTGTGGAATTGATCAATAAATAATAACAGCTAACGGCTATGGAGGGCTTTTGCGCCAGGATTTCCACCCTCGGTCTGATACTCAGTTCCTGCCTGTGCTTAGCCTGAGAACCTCTGCCCTCTGCCCAGTGTGATGACTGCATATCATAACTTTCAAGTGTGTGAGGCTCCGTAAGTGACAGAAAGATTTGGTTATAGGTCCTTATAAGCTGAAAGTGATGAGGAGGATCAAGATTTGCCCATCTGAACATTGACAAAGTTATTTTCGAAGTAGATTTTTTTCCCCCTAGAATTTGCTTTAGTGTTATTTCTTCCCCTCAAAGAAAAAAGTCTGATAAGTATATGCTAGAGCTTAAAATTATTTGTGTCTAGGTCACAAAATTGTAAGCATTGGTGGTCTTCTGCACAGCTATGCAGGCCGCCCGTGTTTACTAGATTTGAGTTACGGTTGTTATAGAAACCCTAATGTAATATCTCCTAACCTTGGGGTTCTGAGTGCTCTTTCCTTCCTGTTACTTTTATCTTATGCTGTTTACCCGTCCTCCCCTCTGACCGAGGTTCCCAGAGTTCCATCTTCATTCTCCAGGCCCTCCATCTCTGCTCGTATCGGTTGTGATCAATCCTTGTAAATCAGCTGTGCCGTCGGTCACCCCTGCACAGAGGACGGTCCCCCACTGGCACCAGCAGCTCCCCATGCACAGTCGGGGATGTAGTCACCAAAGCACTGGGCAGGGAGGCTTCAGCATGTTCCCAGCTTTTCCGACCCTTGGATCCCATACCTATAAAATGAGATCATCTCTGAGGTCCCTTTTGTCTCTAAAACTGTGCCTCAGTTTCCTAATGTAGGAGACTAACAAGAATCTCTGCCTCATAGGATTGTTAGGGAAGTCAGTTCACTGTGAACCTCCTTCTACATAGTGTAAGCTGTTGTTTCTGTTGATTCTCCACCGAGGGTGCAGAGCATGGGGCAGTGAGGTGAGGAGTCAGAGGGAACGGCACGGCAGCGTTTCTGCCCTCCGCGACCTTACCCCCAGGGCTGGGTCGGCCTGTTGGACTCCTCCACTGGCGCCCTCAGCACCACCTCTAGACAGGGGACTCCTTCCCCGACAGAAGCGCGTTACCATGACCCTGACTGTCTCCTCCCAGAGAAACTACTCACTCGGGAGCCTTGTCTCCCAGTCTGCTTCTGGGGGGGAACGCGAACTAAAAAAAGAAGTGAGAGAGAAGTTTCCATGATCTATTAAGTGAATAAACAAGGAACAGGATCTTAAACCTTCCAGTATCAGCATCTCTTTATATGCTTAAAAATTAACAAAGACCCCAAAGAGCCTTTGTTTATATGGTTATATCTGTCAATCTTTACTGTGTTAGAAATTAAAACGGAGGGGCGCCTGGGTGGCTCAGTTGGTTGAGCATCTGGGTCATGGTTTCAGCTCAGGTCATGATCTCAGGGTTGTGGGATTGAGCCCCACGTCGGGCTCCATGCTTAGCGTGGAGGCTGCTTGGTATTCTCTCTTCCCCTGTGTCTCCCCCTTGCTTGCATGCTCTCTCTCTCTAAATAAATGAATAAATGAAAATCTTTAAAAAAATTTTTTAAAGAGAAATTAAAATGGAAAAGTGTTTAAATATTTTTTAATTTATTTAAAAACAACCATAATAAATCGATTACAAGGTAATGTCACTAATATTTTAATGAAAGGTAACTATTCTCCCACCCCAAAAAAATCGTAGTGAAAAGATTGATATTGTTCACATTCTTTTTTTTTTTTTTTTTAAGATTTTATTTTTAAATAATCTCTACACCCAGTGTGGGACTCGAACTCATGACCCTGAGATCAGGAGTCGCAGGCTCTGCCAACTGAGCCAGCCAGGTGCCCCTATGTTGTTTACATTCTTGCATCTCTCTTTAATATCTGACTTAATAGAAGGTGGCCGATTTTCCTATCTGCCTCTGTAGTCAATCTTTTGCAAAATAACACTTCATGTAGCCTCTGGAAAGCTCTCCTACACGTATCTGTGAGAGAAAAGGGGCAATGCTTCTCCCTCACCCTCTGCTTGCCTCTCTGCCTACTTGTGCTCTCCCTCTCTCTCTGTCAAATAAATAAATAAAATCTTTAAACAAACAGAAAAGGGCCAATAATATCTCAGTGTTATAAAAATAGTTTTCATCTCACGGAACCCTTGAAAGGTCTTGGACATACTCATAAATTGGCTCCCCAAAAAGAAAAGGAAAAAAAAAAAGCTGTTTTTAGAAGTGTCCATTTCCGTGGTGTAAATACTCCCGCTGTGGCCTGTTGAGAGCTGCCAACTGGACTCCTCTGAAGTGGGGCCGGGGAGAGGCCCAGTCTGCGCGCCGGCCCGAGCCGGCTCTGGCGACCGGGTCACACTCTGGGTCACACTCTGCGAGCCGCTGACCCCGAACATCTGTGGAAGCATGCCCCAGGAAACGGACTTTGTTGCCTCTCAGAGAGGGACTGGGGACTGGGGGACAGTGGACTTTTTTTTAAAGAATTTATTTATTTGACAGAGAGAGAGCAAGAGAGGGGACACAAGCAGGGGGAGCGGGAGCGGGAGAAGCAGGCTTCCCGCTGAGCAGGGACCCCGATGCGGGGCTCGATCCCAGGTCTCTGGGATCATGACCCGAGCCGAAGGCAGACGCCTAACGACTGAGCCACCCTGACGGCCAACAGTGGACTTTTGAACCAAATATTCTTTTATACTTTTTGAATTTTGTTTCTTGTGCGTGCATTATCTAGTCAAAAAAGGAAAAAAAAAAAGACTAAGCATCTTCCCTTCTTGAAATGAACTCCAAAAATAGACACTGACCTATAATTTGTAAATCTTTTCAACGTTTCCATTTCTTTGTGGCATCTCTGAGAACTGATTCTCAGCCCCCGGGAATGGTTCTCACTTGTCTGCCTCCCCGTCGTCCCTCCTCACAGACCTTCTTCCCGCCAGAGGCGGGAGCTTGCGGATACTCAGGCATCAGATTCAGCGTATCTCGGCAGGAGGCGCGGACGGAGCCCTGCCAGTTACTGCATTTATGTAGCCAATTAAGCAACTTAGCCTTTGTAATTTGATATTTGAGTGGCTGAAGCATCTTGTTATTTCTGAACGTTTGGGATTACCCTCCCTTTTGTGCTTTTTTGTAAACGGAAGGCTTTTCTGATGACATTCTAATCTCCCCCCACCCATGTGCCCTGCACAGAAAATTGAACATTGTCCATCTTACTCCGTGCAGAAGGATAGAGACTATTAGGCATTTTAATAAAATTTATGTATACTCTTAGGAGCTCTGCAACATTTAAACCTTTCTGTACCAATGACAGTCACTTAGCCTGAGGCTTCCTAGGCTGTTCGGCTAAAAATAATAATAATAATAATAACTGAGCATTTTCAGTTATTAAATTAACCCCTGGAAATTGGTCCAGTTTGAGAGTTCCCCTCCAAGAGGTCATGGATGTCTTAGAACTTGTGGTATTTTCGCTAGAGGCAGCAGCAGGCTACGAGGGTCTCGTTGACACTTGTCCCCTTCATTTGTTAAACGTTCCTTTGGGCTTGGCCAGGGGTTTCTGGGGGACATGGAACAGCCACCCCCTGGGGAGAGAGCTAATTCTCAGGGACATGTGGATGCATAGTTTAGACTGTCTCACAATTTGCGAGACACGGTGAGAGAAAGAAGAGGATTTTGAAAAGGAGAGAATGTTAAAATGGGAACGTCCAGCAGGCAGAGGAGCTTGTAATCCTAGCAAGCCCGGGGGGCGGGAGCTGCGGTGGTTGGTAACTCCTGCATAACCTGTAGTTAGGTGAGAAACGGAATTTCTGCGGCACGCTCGGCATCCGGGCGCTCCGTGTCCACCCAGGATGAGCAGCCTTGTGACCGTCCTCTGGGCAGATGGCCAGGAAGTGGAGGTAGCAACGTGATGCCCCTCTCCTTTCTACCGCTGTGCGGGCACCATGTCAGTGCGGGGGATGCTGGGAAGTGACCCACACGTCCCTCCTGTAGAATCTCTTCTGTACGGCGGAGTGGAGTCTGGAAGCATGGAATAGACTGATTTTCCAGGCAGCTACATGCAAACGGAGGGAGATTGGATGCTCCAGCTGCTCTTGGACAGAGGGACCCAAGGTTGGAAACTGGCCCCTGTGTTCATGAGGATTCTGCGACTTCCGCTCCGGGTGGCTGACTGGAGATACACATAGACTTGTTTTGAATCCTAGTTCTGCCACTTAGCAGCTTGGTGACCCTGCGCAGGTTACCTGCCCTGTGTGTTCCCTTCCCAGCCCCCCCACTTTCCATATTCACCTATTGTGTTTCCAGAATAAAATGACAGAAAAATAATTTTTTCTGTCTTCATTGGGGTATTGTCGACAAATAAGAATTGTCTAAGGTGCACGCCTTAGTTTCTTTATTGGTAAGATTGGGATTAAAATAGCTCGGGGCGAGGTGGAAGCGTTCATGAAGAGGCTCGCGGTTTGTGGGCTGCTGGTGTTACTGAGGACCCTCCCTCCCGTCCCCACCGCACAATCAGATGCGTTGTGTGTTCTTCAGGCTTTGCCAATGGGAAATTCCCCAGCTTCCCAAGAAGCGGGGCTGCTTTGCTGGCTGGGAGGGAAGGGGCCTTCTGTGCTGTGGTCTGGGTCACTTCTGTGCTAATCTAGCATCTGTCACTGGTCTAAGGTGACGCTGGTTCCAAAGCATATGCCCTGCGGGTGTCTTGAATGCCCAGGAAGCGGGTCCCTGGGAGCCTTCCCAGCTCCCTTTCTGGCTTTCTGCCCACCCACAGGAGGCTCAGGTGTGTGCTCTTCCTACACCATTTTCTGACACAGGATGATCAGAATTCAGGCGCTTGCGTTGCCTGCTCTGGTGTCACATGGTGTGGGTTGGAAAATACCCTTCCTGCCTCTCGAGCCCTGGTCCCGGCGAGTATACGCCCAGCGCTGGGCCGTGGGCCCCACCGGTCAGCCCCAGTCCCAGCCCGCCTGTGCGCCGCCTCCTCAGCTCCATGCTGCTCCCTGGGAAAATACAGTTGGGCAGATAAACGATGAGATAACCGTGCTGGCCTTGCTCAGCATTGTGGTTCTGTCTGCTGTGTTTTTTCACCCACACCTGTTTTCTTCCAGGATTTGCTTGTCTTTTTAATGCTCTCTACTTAGCCAAGCATTTGTGGTTTTTCTTTCACCTTGACCCTTTCTTTCCCCGATAAGCCATCCACCTTCTCCTTCCTCTCCCACCACTTCTCCCCAGAGTCATTCGTTTTGTACGCTGTACCGTCTCTGACGAGCCTCACTCCGTCCTACCCGCCTGTTTGCTGCTTCTCACCTCTGCTCTTGATCTCAGGGAGTGGTGTCTGTGTCGGGGGGTGGGGGGGGGCAGGCTTCCCAGGGCCTTGGCAGTCAGGTGAGGCCTGCAGTGCATTTTCTCATGAAGCCCCCTGCCTGGGCTTGAACTTCTCCCTGGCAGTGGCCACCCTGCTGTCTGCAGACTACTGTTCGCCTACCTGCCCGTGCTCCCCCATCACTACCCTCAGCCCCTCGGGGGATGGCGTCAAAAGTGGGGTTGTTTCCTTGGGATACAGTGGAAATTGTATTTTCTAAAATTCACTGTTGGTAAAATAGCTCTTGGGCCCTTGAATTTGACTTATTATCTTCCCTCAGTACCGTCTTGTGTGTTATGTTTTTCAGGTAGCAGATAGTTTGGTAAATAGGAATTATTTTCAGTGTAATTGCAATTTCAAATAAACCTTAAATTTTCTTATTCATTTCTCTGAAAATTAGTAATACAGAGATGGAAAGAACTGTGCCTGTCATAAAGTTACTGTGACGTTCTGAGGATAGCACATCACATCATAAGCACTATATACGTGTTGCTATTATTAGTGAATTTTGAAGTTGTTATTGTGTGCATAGATTACCTAGACTCACTCCCTCTTTCTTGCTCCCCCTCTCCCCCGAAATTCATCCATCTAAGACAGAGAACTACACACCGTTCTGTGGCTATTTGGTGAATAGTGTATTGGACTTTGTAGGTAGCATTGCTCTTCCTCCTAGAAATTTTTTAAAAGATACTTCTTGGTCTTGCTCTCCTCAGATGCTTAACCAGAATGGGAACTCAGTATTTGTAGGCAGCCTAATCAGTTGTGGGAACCACAACTCAATATCAACAGTATATGCTGTCATGTCTTCTTTTCCAGTGTTACTACCTCTTTTACACCTTATGCTATTTACAAATGCTGTTATGTAATTTGGGGAATCTCAAAGATTTAATGCTACTTTTATTTTTTATTTTTATTTATTTTTTTAAAGATTTTATTTATTTATTTGACAGAGAGAGACACAGCGAGAGAGGGAACACAAGCAGGGGGAGGGGGAGAGGGAGAAGCAGGCTTCCTGCCAAGCATGGAGCCCGATGCGGGGCTCGATCCCAGGACTCTGGGATCGTGACCTGAGCCGAAGGCAGACGCTTGACGACTGAGCCACCCAGGCGCCCCTTAATGCTACTTTTAATCATGGTGTCTGTTCAGTTCTGGCTGGGGCAGTGGGAGTCAGGGGCTAGCTCCGCACCAGACCCTGAAGCCCAAACAGTGCCCCTTGCTCTCTTGTGGCCCCCCGCCTCATTCCCTCATCAGTAAAAAGAAGGGTTTGGACCAGATTCTCTGGAGCTCGAGAACTTTAAAACCCCACATTGCCTCTTCTTGTTGCCTTGGAAGGAAGGGCTAGACCAGCACCATCCAATAAAAATAGAATGTAAGCCACTTAATGTAATTTTAAATTTTCTAGTAGCTACATTAAAAGAAAAGGCGAAATTAATTTTAATAAAGTTTTCTTTAGCCCAATGAACCTGACATTATCGTGTCAACATGTAATCAACATAAAAATGATTAGATATTTTACTTTTTTTTTTTGCTCTGCTACGTCTTTGAAATCCAGTGTGTCCTTACACTTAGAGCACATCTTCATTTGGACTAGCCACATTTCCAGTCCTCGGTAGCCATGGGACTAATGGCTGCCATCAGGGGCAGTGTGGGGCTTTCTGGAGCACCTGGAGTCAGCCCTAGGACCCGCTCGTGTCCGGTGGAGCCACGGCCTACATCCTCAGTCAGCCTTTTCACTCTGTGGCTGGAATTTAGAAGAAAGCAGGGACCAACAGGAGATCCTCTGAACTTGGGTCTTTTGTAAGCCTTGATTTTCTCAAATAACATTACCCCCTCGGTCTGAAAGTGACTCAGTCGATGCTTTAAGATGCCTTCTGCCCACGTGGAGTTTTGGAGAAGTGCTCCCAGAGGGTATGCAGAAGGCCTGGCTGCTTCTAGCAACTGCAGACAAATAGAGAGGATGCAGTTTTCCATGATGTTAGGGAACAGTATCAGCTTAACCTTCCATTACCCAGAGCCACGGTTGGGAGGGTAAGGGAATTTCTCATGGGTATGGAAAATTAAGAAATAAATCAAGCAATAAATCAAGACTTTGTCTTTGTCTTTTCATTTAGTGGAATAGAAGATGAACTCAACTGAATTCAGTGAAGATGTAGAAGAAGGTAAAAAAAAAAAAGCTTCTTTTTAAAAAATATTTTTAATTTAGTATTTTTTATTAGGTCATACACTACATGGTTCAAAAATAAAAAGTTACATAATGAAAAATCAATGAAAAGTCCCCTCCCACTCCTGGTTCCCAGCCCCCTCTGCCCATACACCTGCTCGAGGTATCTTAGTATCTTCCCAGAGTTACTTTTCTAAAAGTATCATTTCAAAGATAGTATTTGTTTCTTTCTCTCTGTTTCCTGTCTTTCTCCCCAAGAAGGAATTTAAAAACAGTTTTGAGCAAAAAGTTCTTGGAACGTGGTTTTATTGTATAGCACTAACATGGTAAGATAAAAATCGCTAGGTTTGGAAAGGGCAGTTTTATTGTGACTCGACTTTATATTATCTGAGTGATAGTGTCAGAGGGCAGCCCGCACACCCCCCATTGCTCAGGGAACCCTGCTAACCTCCGAGTGGCCCAGTGGTCTTTCCCGCTGAGCCCTGTTTCTTCTCTGCCACAGTTCTAAAAAATAACACTGTGAAAGTGGAGACAGAGGCCGAAGATGCTGCCCTGGACTGCTCGGTGAGCTCCAGGTCTTCCGAGAAGCACCCTCTGGACAGCGTCTTCACTGCCCTCCAGGATTCCAGCAAGCGAAAGCAGCCGGGCGGCGATGGCCAGCCTGACTCTGTCCCCAGCGTGAAGAGGCGGCGGCTGATTCCCGAGGTGAGGGCCCAGCCCCTTCCGCTGTTTGCTTGGGCTCTGACCCTCTGATTAGATGCTCTGTCTCTCTACCTGTGGGCATCCAGGCAACTGCTGGGCCCTTGGGCATGAGAAAGCTTTCATTGCAGCTCTCCTGTCTCTGGCTTAAAGTTCTAGGTGTCCTCTCTGACTAGAATTCTTATATATGTCTGGATTCATTACGGGGCTAGGGGAGTCTTCACAATGCAACTGCTTTTGAGTTCTTTGTTTTGCTTTGCTCCACTCGACAGCAAGGGCTGTTAAGAAAAGCCTACTGCATTTTATGTAGTACAGGCTGTACACAGATTCCTGGAAAAGTTGAGGGTTGGGAGGTCTTTTCCTAAATCAAGCCCATCTTTTATATTAGGAGAACTTGCTCAGTGAATCTTTTTGTAAAGAGAATTCTTTTGTAACATACCTGTTACCCCCCTAACCTACAAATTTTATGAATTTGCTTTATTTTTTTCGTCACCTGCTGGTTAAATTGAACTTGACTAAATTCTTTTTTTTTTTTTTTAAGATTTATTTATTTATTTGAGAGAGAGAGAGCATGAGCGGAGGGGTAGAGGGAGAGGGAGAGAGAAAGAATCCCAAGTGGACTCCACGCTGAGCGTGGAGCCTGACAGAGGGCCTGATTTCATGACCCTGAGATCACAACCTGAGCTGAAACCAGGAGTTGGATGCTTACCTGACTGTACCACCCAGGCGCCCCTGAACTTGGCTAAATTCTAAGAGAGACAACAGAACTGGATATGGTGGCCCCCTCTAGCAGCCTACAGTCCGGGTGGGAGACAAGACATGTACACAGAATGGTTAAGACCAAGGAGAGAGCGGCAGCTTTAGGGATGTTTCACCTCTAAGCCTTCCCACGGGCCAGCAGACTACACCTTAAATTCTTAGAAGGATATTTTCCCAAGCTCTCCAACATAGACAGACAGACAGACACACAAGCTCTTTCGGGGACCCAGATAGGAATTCAATTTCTGCATGTCTGTCCAAAAGAGCCCACGTTTTCAGAGCTCATTATCATTAGCCAGAACACCATGGAGCATCAGCCTGGAACTCTGGGTTGTACTGTTTTTTTTTAAGATTTTATTTATTTATTTGACAGAGAGAGACACAGCGAGAGAGGGAACATAAGCAGGAGGAGTGGGAGAGGGAGAAGCAGGCTTCCCGTGGAGCAGGGAGCCTGATGTGGGGCTCGATCCCAGAACCCTGGGATCATGAACTGTGCCGAAGGCACAACAAATGAGCCACCCACACGCCCCGTTACTAGTTTGTTTTAAAGAATTAAAACTATTAGATGCTAGGGCAAATCCAAGTAAATTGGAAATACCTGGATTTTAGAGATTTAGTGAGTCTTCAATAAGTAAAATTATCCTTTGCTATAATTAGCAAAATTATGAGATTGATTTTCACCAGGATTTAAATATACATGTTTAGATTCTGTTATAATGAGCATCAACCTGCATTCCATATCATGGGTCATTGAGTAATACTTTTTTTTATTTGGGTTTTTCCCCCCAAAACAGCCTTTTTTTTTTTTTAGTTAATTAATTTATTTGAGAGCGAGCGAAGGAGGGGGAGAAGCAGAGGGAGAGAGACTCCAGAGACCAATGTGGGGCTTGATCTCACGACCCCAAGATCACAGCCTGACCCAAAACCAAGAGTTGGACACTTAACTGACTACACTGCCCAGGTGCCTCCGCCCCCATTATTGAATTATTGAGATATAATTCACATATGCAATTCACCAATTTAAATTGTACAATTTAGTGGGTTTCTTGGGGTATATTCACAGAGTTGTACAACTATTACTATAATAAGTTTTAGAATATTTTCATCATCCCACAAAGAACCCTTGTGCCCATTAGTGGTCACTCCCCATTCCCCTCCTTTAGCACCTGGCAAGCAGTAATCTACATTGTCTCTATGGATTTGCCTATTCTCGATATTTCATATAAATGGAATCATAGAATATGTGGCCTTTTATTTTTTTATTTTAAAAGATTTTATTTATTTATTTGACAGAGAGACACACAGTGAGAGAGGGACACAAGCAGGGGGAGGGGGAGAGGGAGAAGCAGGCTTCCTGCAGAGCAGGGTGCCTGACACGGGGCTCGATCCCAGGACCCTGGGATCACGACCTGAGCTGAAGGCAGACCCTAATTACTGAGCCACCCAGGCGCCCCGTGTGGCCTTTTATATCTGGCTTCTTTCACTTAGCATAATGTTTTCAAGGCTCATCCATATAGCATGGATGAGGTCTTCACTCCTTTTTTATGGCCAAATAATATTCCGTTGTAAACATACCACATTTTGTTTATCCATTCATCAGTTAATAGACATTTGGGTTGTTTCCACTTACTGACCATCATGAGTAATATTCCAACAATACATCGATAATGCCCACCTAGGAAAAAAGTTGAAATTTTTTATAACTATATGAGCATTTTTTTTTTTTTTATTTGAGAGAAAGAGAACACGAGCAGGGTGAGTGGCAGAGGGAGAAGCAGACTCCCCGCTGAGCAAGGAGCCCGATGTGGGGCTCGATCCCAGGACCCCGAGATCATGACCTGAGCTGAAGGCAGACGCTTAACGACTGAGCCACCCAGGTGCCCTATATGAGCTTTTTTTTTTTTTTTTAAAGATTTTTTATTTACTTATTTGAGAGAGAGAGAGAGAGAGAGAACACATGAGAGGGGATAGGGTCAGAGGACAAAGCAGACTCCCTGCCGAGCAGGGAGCCCAATGCGGGACTCGATGCAGGGACTCCAGGATCATGACCTGAGCCGAAGGCAGTCACTTAACCAACTGAGCCACCCAGGCGCCCATATATGAGCATTTTAAATAAAGGGTTAATTACAGATATCCTGCCCTTGGCTCTGGGTGCTCTGGCTGCCCACCCCGGCCGCTTGCTGCACGCCCTGTGACCCTGGGGAGAGTATCAGGTGTGGCTAGCAGGCTCCAGTGCAGTGAGAAATGATTGCAGACGAAATCTCAGACTTCCTCACTGCTGAGTGAGATCCATGCTGGGCGAATACAAGCTCTAAGGTGGTTAGTCGAAGAGCTTGTTTGAAAATCATGTAACCATTTTTTCTTAGGTTTTATTTTACACCATAATTTATTATGCTTTCCCCTAATGATCGCTAGATAGATGTTTTCCACTAACATGTTTAGTGCTGCAGGGACCATCCATGTACGTAAACCTAGTGCCCTCTGTGAGTGTTCCTGTGGGTTAGATGCCTAGAGGTTACCCTACAAGCGTCGAGAAGCTTGAGAAGCACCGTTAAGTTCCTAATGGAACTCCTGAAAACGTTTTCTTGTGTGTCACATTACATTTCTACCTCGGATCCATTCTGTAGACTCGTTCAAGTGTGCAACTAAAGCCAAAGTTCCAGAAATGGGACACAAAATCCAGTGTATTGGTTCACTTTTGCTGTGGGACAAACCATCCCGGATCTTAGCAGCTTAAAATGGCCGCCATTATATTTGTTTGCCGTTCTGTGGGTCAGCTGGTAGTTCCTGATGTGGCTAGGTGGTCTGGAATGGCCTCCCTCCCGTTTCTGGGGGCTCGGCTGCAGCTTCCCGTCCTGCGTGTCCTCGCCCCCGGGAGGCTAGTCCAGGCCTGTTCACGTAACATGGAAGCGTTCTAAGAGCACGAGAGGCTAAGCTCTGGGGCACAGATGCTTTTCATCACGTCTGCTTGCGTCACCTCGTTAGCTGGCGTCCCTCTGGTCAAAGCAGGTGACATGGGCCAGTCTGCCCACAAGGCCCGTAAGAACAGGCTCCACCCCTGACGGTAGGAGCAACAAACTCACATTGCAGAGAGGCTTTCACACAAGGATGGGGCAGCTCTTGTGGTGGTTTTTATAAAGAGTTCCCCACAGTAAGGAACAGCAAGCCCATCAGGAAGGAACTCTGACCACGTCTGCCTGGGTTGTGGCCTTTGTGGACAGTCTGAGGTGGTCCCCTTGTCACCTTATGCAAATGGAGTCACTTCATCCTTTCATTCCATACAATTTTGTTAGAATGGCATCCCAGAGAAGGGAATGTCTTCACATTCTTGGGGGCAGAGAGGGAAGGAGAAGGTTCTTATGATTTGTGTTTTCGTTGAATCCTTCAGTATATGAAGCAAGTCAGAATAAAACCTGGCCTTGGGCTGGAACTCCATTGAGGTTCGAGGTGGAGGGATTTCCCTGAGCATCCCATGAACGATGTGTGAAGGCTTCGGATGCCTCCCAGTTTGGTGAGGCAGCAAGCTTCAGCTGGGACCTCAGGCATCATCCTGGAATTCTGACACCAAAATGTATTTGAATATTTCTGACATCACTTGTCCAACTTACATATTCTAACTGGGCAGGTATGTTTACTTTTCAATAGAGTGGAGACAGCAGGCAGTTCTAACCTGTTAGATTTTAGACTGGAGAAGACAGGTTAAGTCCTGGATTTTGTTTTGGGTGTTTTACTAGTTTTGTTTATTCTCCTTACTGTATATAAAATGAGGTTGATATCCATGCACCCCTTCCTGTTCTTTAAAAAGAATATATGGAAGTATGAACCTTTTCAAATTCTTGAGCTCCTTGTAAAAAGGTGTCATTTGAATTCAAGGCAGTATTTCCTTTTAAAAGTCTCTGTAAGTTGATGTGTCAGTAAATCAACAGCCTCGAAGTACCCTGGGGATTTTAGAACAATCCATCAGTTTTATGAAATTATAGTATATGTTGATTTTTCAAAATGGCACTAGTCTTAATTCACAGTGAATAGTCCTTTATCCTTCTCCCCCTGAGTTTTCTCTGATCCTTCTTACAGATAAGGCGGCAGGGGTGGTGGTTGGGGCGGGGGGACATATGCAGCTTTTTTGCCAGAGTGAGACAAGAGGATCCAGGAGGCCGAAACAAGTGATCATCCAAAAAAGTGGAAAGGAAGTTCATGAACAGTGACTGAGTGCCTGCTTGACAAATGGCACCATTCCTTATTTAATC